CTACCGTGAACGACATTCATTTTTATATATTGTAATCCTATTGTTTTTTTCTCAAAAGTTTTAGGTGTCAAGAATAAGTATGGTTAGATTTTTTTTTTTGTTTTGTTTTACTCTAATCAATTATTACTATACCATTCATGATGACAATTTGCCTGTTGGTTTTTTATTATTATCAAATACTTGGTTTAGATTTGTTTGTATACAATGAATGATGTGACAAATGTGACAATCAATCATTAGTTTTTAGCTTTTTGTCGTTGTTGTTGTTGATCGAAATTTTCGATATCATTCGATATATAACCGGAGTATGAGAGAATTAGTCCATTTGTTGTTTTGTTTTTGTTTGTCACGACACACTAGAAATCATTTATTTGGTAGAATTTTTTTAATTCTTTTTATAAACAACAATAAGGTCATTTCGACAATGGCCAAAAGGTCATAATGAATAGGAAGGATATATTTCCGTTTTTTGTTTTAAACAAGGAAAAAAGGGTTCATTGTCATCATTTTTTTGAATTGTTGTTGTCGTTGTTCATTCGTACATCCATTCCTTCAACTTTTTTGTTGTTGTTGTTGTTTTTCTTTTTCGGGACTAGTTTCCGGTTCGAAGAAAAAATTCATTCATCCAAAAATGACTAACAATGCTTCTCTCAAAATGTTTATGGTAATAATAAGGATAATAATGATCATTGTATCGTTTTTTTTTTTGGTTATAAGATTCACGACTAATCAATCCTACAAAACAATAAAGGTATTTTTTGAAATTTTATTCTGTAAACATTGATGATGATCAAATAAAATCAATTAATTTTAATTTTGTCAATTATTTAAAATATAGCTTCATAGACTTTTCCTTTGATATAAACTTTTTTTTCGAATTGGAATCAAGTATGTATAAATGACGATAGTATCGACACGAACTTGAATGATTAATTTATTTTCTCTTCGAATATTCTATTCGAATGGTCGAAAATATTCAACAATATTATACTTACGGATATTGGAATACATTTAAAAACCGACCGACAGCTAACTAACTATGAACTGAACATACGATAAAGTGACATTCGTTGATTTATTATATCTAAAATGTTTCTGCTTTTTCTTTTTCTCTTAGCAGTGATGATGATGGCAGTCTATAAAAAACAATGATATACATTCGATGTGAAAAAGCAGCGACAAAAATAATAAAACATTGAAAAAAAAGATTCTCGATTCAACATTAACGATAAATATTATGAAACGGATTCCGTTTTTGCTTTTTCAATATCTCTCTGTGTGTTTGTATTGATCAACAATGATGATGCTTGTTTATTTATATGTTATTATTGATCTTCTAAATCATCTGGTTTTGAATCGTATTTTTTTCGGTCTAAATGAATCCTGTTGGAATCTTTATTATTTTTTCTTGTTTTTTGGATGCTTACACAACGATGATGAACCCAGATGCCGAAATGATTGTTTCTTTTACAATGTTTTGCAAACGCTAAAGCACAAACATTTTTCGATCCAAATGATGACCAAAGGAAAAAAAATTAATATTTTTCTCTTTCTATCTTGGAAATCTTTAAAAATATAAAAAAAATAATCGATAAAATTTTCATTCATTCAGCATTATATCTAGCTTGGTGGCGTTACTGAAATAAAAAAAACTATCTAGTTTAATTCCGTAAAAAAATGTAACAAAAAATTAAAATTCAATTTATACCGAATATTTTGGGTACGAAAGAATATTGTAAACAACAACAATATAAGTAAGTTCTAGTATTGATATAAACATAGATATAATGCATGAATACATGGTCATGAAATAATGATTCGACTTTTTAGTTTTCGGTATTCTATTCTTTTGAACGAATGTTGTGTGGATATGTTCCAAAAATGATGATGATAATGGGCATCTAGCGTGGTAATGATGATGATGATGAATTTTATTGTGGTTTTTTTCGCCTATTCGGTTGGCTGAATTTGAATTTTCACTGTAGTTGAACAAAAAAAAAACAAGACTAAAAATGATAAAATAACACATTTGTTAAATACGAATATTATCGGACGCCATAAGTAATTACATCGAAACGATCGAATCTTCTACTTTGGATTTAATAAAGGAGAAATGAGTAGTGGTACAAATAAAACAAGCAAAAAAAAAGACACCTAAAAGGAATATTATGATCATGATGATGGCACCATTTGGTATAGTCATTTAGTTTGGTCGATAGAAATATATGGCTATTTAATAACGATTATGGTGATGATGATTATGATGATAATTATGATGATTATTATTATATTCGCGATTATGATTATTGTACAAACAAAACAGAAAAACATTTTTCATTTTGGAAAACACATATATTATCATCGCTGGTTTGAAAAAAACTTGTTGGAACCGGACAGTAGAATTTTTTTTCTCATTTTTTTAAATTCTATTTTGTAGGTCGCTTTTTTTATCTATTGATTTTTCATTTTATTTCGTTTCATATAGAAACGATCCATAATTTCATAATCATTAGCATTATTTTCAGAATTTTTTTCCTATTATTATTTTACAATTTTATAAAATTTAACAACAACAAAAAATCTGCCGTTAGAAAGAAAGTAAAACCGAAAAAAAGTAACGATAATCGATATATATGGGTGTTTTTTGAATAGGAAATTTTTCCTTTTCTTTTGTTATTTTGAATAATAATTTTTCAATTCGGTTTGTTTTTGTTTTTTTTTTTTTTTTTTTTAAAAAAAAGATTCAAAATTTTTTCCTTTTTTTTTTTTTTTTTTTTTTTAATTTTTTTTTCTGTT